CTGACTGGGATGGGGGAGTCAGGGTGGTTTGAATGTTGTCCTGAAGTATGTTCTTAATTTTACATGTGATGTCTGTAATTCACATATAGGTGATCAAGCCTTTACCATTCTGAGAGCATGAATGTAAAAGAGAGAGGCAACCATTTAAATCCATCTTGTAGTTTAAATGATTGACACAATGTCCTCCCTGTGTGCCAATTCCAACAGGAAAGGAAAAAAGAATAAAGATATATACAACTGAAGAGGATAAAGGGTGATACCCGAAGAGGATAAAGGGTGACAGGCTGATAGATGGGCTCAATTGTGGAGGTGGTGGAGACCCTAAAGACCAATGACTACAATCTTTCTGCCTATGGTTTCCCATTTTTCAGATGAGAAAGTGGAGGAGTTTTAATCTAGTTATGTGCTCAGCATTAGAACTGGGTTGGAGCTCAGGGGTCTGGGGTCCTAGTTGCTGTCACAGGGGCTTCACCTCCCACTTTGTGGATATAACAAATGGGGTAGCAGACAGACCAGATGGATTTTACTCTCCTTCCAGTTCACTTTGGGCCATCTCTGAACACCAGGGTTCAGGCCCACCCTCCTGCCGGGGGAGGTGTCACAGCAGGCAGCTCCGAGGGCTGGGGGCTGGGTGTGCAACTGGGGTCCGCTCACCTGTGGCCGTTTCCACTCTAGGCCGGAGAGTCCTTTTCCCTGGAGCAGCTTCTGGCCTATGGAAGAAGCCTCAGCAGGGAATGTCTTATCCTTAAACAGCTGGCCTCTGCTTAGGCAGTGATCCCACAAGGAGTTAAAGTCCTGGTCCTTGAACTTGATGATGTTGGTCTCTGCTAAAGCCTCCTGGTTATACGCCATGACTCTCCTTAGAAGACTTCTGAGGCTCTTTCTTTCTAGTGAGAAAAAGGGATATTTTTTAGGGGTGAACCATCAAGTCCTTTAAATCATTGGTTGTGAGACCCAGAAGGGCACTCTGATATATCCCCCTCTGCAAATGGGGGCACTGAGACAGGATCCATGCTGTCCCTGGTTACACAGGCAGCTGGTGGGCAAGCCTGAACTGAAAGAGTCCCGGCATCCTTATCGCAGTTCAGCATTCGGTCTGCCGTACTGCACAGCTTCTCACTCTGTCCTTATGTGCACGAGGGACCGTGGGGGGGATCTGCACAGTCCAGGAGCACTCAACGGAACCCTGACCTTGTGCCAGGCACTCTGCTGAATGCTGGCAATCCAAAGGTAAATTCAACATGGCCTTTGTCCCCTTGGAGCTGATTATCAAGTAGGAAAGATGTCTATCATTCAACAGAAATTGAAAATGTGTATATAGTTGTCCTATAGCAAGGAGGAGGAGCTATGTACTGCCACAGAGGGTCTAGGACAGCGGTTCTCAGCCTATGGGTCACAACCCACAGGAACTGTATTAAAGGGCCACAGCATTAGGAAGGTTGAGAACCAGTGGTCTAGGAGAATGGCTCTTTTCTGGGCAGTGACTTTTGAATTAGGCCTTGAAAGAAGAAGAATTTGCCAGGTTGAGAATGGGCAGATAGACCTTTTTTTTTTCAAATGCCCATGGCTGCCTATAGCTGAATTGGAAAGGTCACCCCCTGTTGGAAGGAATGGCGAGCAACAGCAGGGTTTGATGCAGTGGTGACTGGGGAGGAGGATGGCCAGAAAGGCAGATTGAAAACTGGATGGTGATGTGTTTCATACCCTGCAAGCTCTGCATGGCCATTGCAGAGGCAGGCATGAAAAGATCGGGGTATAGGATAGTACCGCAGGGTGGGGGCCAGGTGGAGGGGATGGGCAGGAACCAGAAACAGGGAGCAGGCTAGGAGACCACTGCCTCTGTCCACGGAAGAGAGGGTGCTAGGGCAGCAGAAGAGAAGACAGAAGGGAGACAGATTCCAGGGTCATTTTATAGGGGAAGAATTGAATATGGGGGTCAGGGTGAGGGGGAGTGTAGTGGTGATCTCACATGTGTATACACATGTCAAAACTCCTCCAAGTTTACACTTTAAATATGTACAGCTGAGATGTCCTAAATAAAGTTGCTTTAAAAATTAAATACGGTAACTTACTTCCCCCCCCATAAGTAAAAAGTAGCTGAATTTCATTCATTTCCATTGCCCATAATACATTATTCTACAATTTATTTATGCTTCTCCTCATGATGGCCATACAATGTTCTCCTATTTGTTTTATTAAAAATTATGCTAAAAATGGTCTTGCGCACCATCGCTTGATAAACATGTGCAAGATTTATCTGTAGGCTGGATTTCCAGGAATAGAATTTCTGGGTTTAGGATATGCACATACTCAATCTCACTAAGTATGCCAAGTTATTCTCCAAGGTTGTACCAGTTTACAATCTCACCAGCAGTGTGAAAGCGCCCCCATTGCTATATATCCTCGCTAACTCTCGGGATGGGCAGGCTTCTCATTTGTACCCATCTGTGGAAGGACATGGCCACTCCTTGTGGTCTTAATTTGTTTCTCTGATTACTGGTAAGATTGAGCACCTTTCAATATGCTTATTCTTCATTCTCGTTTCCTCTCTTGAGAAATGAATATTCATATCTTCCGCCCATTTGTCTATTGGGTTGTCTTTCTCTTATTGATTTGTAGGAATTCTTCACTTAGCCTGGATATTTGTCTTTTGTTAGTCGTATATGTTGTAAATATCTTCTCTCAGTTTGTAGTTTATCTCCTCAATTCCCTTACGGTGTCTTTTGATGAACATAGCTATTCTTCACTTTACACAAATATGAATGTTTTACAAATATTTGCTGATGTGGTTAAGTATTATAAATTGTACCAAATGTTAATTCTTATGGGAATGTAACATAAGGAACTTCGTGAGAGAGTCTTTTTAAAACAAGAAATTTCTTTGTAATCAACACCAATATCCCAAAACCCTGAGTTAAAACATTTTATATGCATGTAGTTTTCTCATGTTTTTAAGAAGTCAGATATTTACAGCAAAATTCTGAAATGGATTTGCAAAGAAATACTTTGCATACATAGGAAATAAAGCTAGTGTCTGTAGAAGTGAATATAGCCTTACTAAAGCCAATTACTTAAAATCTCTCTTCCTCCACCCCCATCCCAGAAAGTCTTTGCTTTGGAGAAAGAAGAGAATTTACATACATATGCATATACATATTTTGATTTTTAGAAAGTGCTTAATAAATCTTGATAAAATCACCACTTAGTCCCTACCATGTAGACCAGTGTGGACTAGACCTGGTAGATTGTATACCACGTAGTACAGTAGAACAGCACAACGCAGCACAGTAGAGGACAGCACAGGAAATAGACTTCACACTGTGATCCAGAGATTATGGATGAACGGTTCTAGATGAGCTTGGACTCACTGCACCATGAGAGTCACAGAGCCCTGTTCCGTGTCACATCCAATCTAATATTT